TAGATCTACAAGTTATAATTATTTCCCTCTGCATGCATAATGTGGTATATAGTTTATAAATAATATTGGAATTGTAATATAGCATATTTTTATTTTATTTTAGCTTATTTTCTCATAGCTAGATATTAGCTCTACAGCTACACTGAGAATTTCAAGCATAAATAAAGTATATGTATGTACCACGTGTAGCTTTTTTAGAGAGTACTTTTGAATGAACATTGAGTTCTCTCAAGGGCTTAGCCATATTCTTTCACTATTTATGACTCTTGCTTGTGAGCAGCAGTATACCGATAGAGAATTGTGCAGCAAATGATTGCAGTACTTGAGTAATGTAAATTTTGTTACCAGATGCTATTTTCAGAAGCTTATGCTCTTGTTTGTGCCATGTAGGACAACATTTCCCACACAGATGGTGACAACTGACACATTTTGCCAAAAAAAAAAAGATACAATGTAAGGCATTGATAAGAGACCACCAACTTGGGTTTAACTATGCTGAAAGGTAGTTTAAAATGAAGGAAACTCAGTAAAAAAATCTATATTTCTTCAATTAATTTGTATGGTTACAGTTAACCCTATTTTGGTTTAATAAAAAGTCAAAGAAAAATGTGGGTCTTGCAAGCCTTTCATCCAAACTTAGGATTCCATCATTCTCGGTGATAAATTAAGAAGTTTGGTTTTTTATTTAGTATAATGCTAAATATTTTCAGTCTCATAGTCTTACATTTCTTCAAGAGTTCTCAAAGTCAGGGATTAGTTGTTATTGTCAAATATGTTAGTCATATTAAAGGGTCAGTGGAGCTGAGTTATCATACCCAAGGTTAAATTTTAATCTGGATTTCTTTAATTCTCCATTCAAAAGCCCTCTTTGGGGATAATGTTCTCTAGTTTTATTTTCAGACCATCCAATCATGAAGCTGTAGACAAGAAGAATTAAACTGAATTTTCTTTTGATGCTTTTAAGCTTTCGAATCTGAATGAAAATGCTATAACAAATGAGCTGATATATATCACAAAAAATGCCTGCCATCTCGACTGAAGCCCTCCACAAAAATTAACATGTGTGCCCACAGAGTTAAGGATGAATTAATCAACTCTTTTTTGAATTTGTGACTATCCTTTGTTTCAGACTGTCCTAGTGGACAAGGGCTTTGGCAGTAATAGATGTAAAAAGAAAGGTTACATTGAGCTTTACAACAGGCAAAATCGTAATGAATATAGATGTTGGCCCCCTCCTGAATGCCATGATGGACAGGAGCCATCAGTTGAACCTGGCTCATCACACCCTATTGGAACAGACATCAGCTGTCAAAGTTGCAAGATTGGTTTCTTTTCAAATAACAGGACAAATAATAGGTGCCATAAGTGTACTTCCTGTGGCAAAAAACAAGAACTTTATCCATGCACACTTGTGAAGGACAGAGAGTGTGCCAATAAATGCATTTCTAATGAATATTACTTCAATGACACAGAGGAAGAATGTTACAGATGTGTTGAATGCTGTGAAGGTGATGATGAGAACATTGAGCCACAGTGCATTGCTCTGAGAAAGGGTGTAGTTATAGGAGGAAAAGGAGAGAAGCACTGTAGGATTTCAAATAGAAGGTGTGATGACCTGCCAACTTCTTCATCTGAAGGATGTACATGCAACTGTTCAGTATCAAACAATTCCAGTATTGCAGTAGGAAACTCTCCAGCCATGAATATTTCATCAACCTTGCAAAGTGACAACTCTTCACTTCACAAGCCCTGTGTGGTACACATGTTTTGGATCATTGGACTTTCATGTTCTCTGGTAGTTGTGGTTGCTCTTATACTGGTCTACTTTCTGTACTGGAGGAGAAAATGGAGTCCACAAAGTTACAACTTATACATACATGAAACTTCATCCAGGAGCTGCATATTTACTTGTCCTCCACTCTGCATCTCTGACTCATCAACTTGTACAGGTATTTTTGCATTGAATCAGGCAGCTTCAACCCTTAAATGTAAATATCAACTTTCCTTTTTAACTGCTATGCATTACATGGGGAATTTTTTTTTGTTTTGTTGCAGGAACAGCATCCTGCTAATAAGTTTTCTCATCAGGTGTTTGTTGCATTTTGCATGTGATTATACTTTTTAAGGGAAGTTACAGTTTGACCTTGAGTCAAATCAAAGCTGTATTAATTTTAACATCCTTCTGCAAGTTTGTTTCATCTAAGATAGTGTGCATCTAGAGCAACTTACAAAACCTGTGAGGTAAATCTGAACTGGAACTGTAGAGTTGCGATGGGAACACTGAGGTTATCATATTAATGTAGAAGTGAGAATACTCATGTACATGTACATTAACGAGTTTGAAGGAAATGTGTACTACATGGTTTGTGTATTTAATAGGCGACTACTATCTCCCCTCCCCTACTCCCTCCCAATCCTTACAGGAAGTTTACTCACAGGTTACCTGGTGGTTGTCATAAGTCTCTATAAACAAACAGATAGGGTATTTTTATAAGTGTTCATTGAATGCTTATTGACATGTTCTGTCATCCCTCCTTTATGATGCAATGTGTGTGAAAATTACTTTTAGGTTCAAGATGCTATGAAGAGGTTATTGCATTCATGCCATGCCAGGACAAACTGAAGGTCATTCCAGGTTAGTATAGAAAAATTGTGCTTTCAGGGATGTTCAAGTACCTGTTAAAAATCACTAATAGTGACAAGATGATAAGTCTAACTTTTAAATAGTTTCATCCTCAGATAGGAATTTCATGCTCTGATTTACTGCTACTTATTTTTCATGAAACACAATGTTTGTGATCTTTAGTGATTATTTGTAATCTTGAGACCCTCAACTTGTTAATGGTTCATTTACTGGGATTGTTATCAAACCTTGCTGCCTCACCTCTTTTAAATACACATTGCAGGGCTGATTATGTTCGTTTTTGTTTGAACACAGAAGTTCAAATTGATGAAGTACCATATGATGTGGAAGTCATCCTCATCCAAAAACTAGATGCAAAGAAGACCAATGCAAAGAACTGGTGGGATGTTGGTCGCAAAATTGGAATTTCACGTTCACAGCTTGAAAATGTTGATCAAGGGGAAAGTCCAACAAAAACTATAATCAGTATTTTAAGTACATGGCATGACGTTCCAACCATCAGAAAATTTGTAGAAATAGCAGATAAGTTAGGGCGACATGATATTTGTAAAAATGTTGTGGAATTCTATCAAAATCAAACACCAGAAATAGTCAATGAAACCCCGGTGTAAACTAACGTAAATACAATTTATTTAATTAGCTCGCAACACTAGACCTAAAAGTCCTGTAACAGTGTGAACAGAGCTAGTTTCCTGTCTCGTCAGCATTTTTCATTGGACTATATACCTTCCATTACCTTATGTGCAAGAGCTACAGTTACTGTTAATAGACATTTGAAATGTATTTTTTGCATAGAATGTGAGATTTGCATTTGTATTTGAGTATCTCATATTGGGAGTCATAATGTTGCACTATGTGCTCAATTTTGTATGAAGTGTATCAGTTTTTTAGGGAAAAAGGGTTAAAGTAAAGGTCAGTACAAAATTGTTTGACTAGCTTTTCTTTGTTTGTGATGACCAATTTAAACGCACTATCTGCGTGAAAGTCCACTTCATTAGATGCAGACCTACGACCAAGTCTCAAGTTTATTTGAGACTCCAAACAGAAAGTAGGAGAGCAAGCAAATACCCACAAATCATTTTAAGCAGAGCAGAAAAGTTATCTCTCTGCACAGTCAAGTGCAGTTAGCACCGTTTTATGTTCCCACATGGGGCATGGGCTTATGTTACATTAGTTACGGTATCATCATCCTGATCATTTAAAACAGATCTCAAGTGATTATGACAAATTATGAATTTATGGTGACACCTGACACCTATTCCTGACGTGCTGATAACTGTGAGTCATAGGTGATGATTGTCTCCTCGTGCAGCCAATCTATCAAGATGTCACGTAACACCCCCGCTGCCCCTCCCTCCTAGCTCCTGCCTAAACATCCCAAAAACACCTGCGGAGGAGACAAGGAATTTCACTTTATGACCTTGTGCATAAATCGTTTGGCGTAACCCACCTCAAGTAGCCGTTCTAAACAGTGCTACGGGGTTAACTCTTTAACTCGCATATCAAATTTGTAATTCTTCTTACTGTCAACCATACAATTCTTATAATCCCTTGGATCAACTAATTATCCCCAAATTGATATTTTTCTTTATTCTCATCACTTATCTGGTTGATATTGTATTGATATTGTAGGGAGAAATTCTGTCTTGGTCACTCAAGGGAGTTAAAGGGTTAACAGAATTTTTCAGATCGCTTTTCAATCCTGTCGTGTTGCCTACGAGTTTTTCATTCGATTCCTTGAAAGATTGTATGGTTGATGACTTGGAGGTAAGAAAGAAAAACGGCGGGAACCAGGAGAGAAAACTCTGCTGAATCCAGAGTCTTACACATATTAGGAATTTTAGACTGTCGAAAGTCCTTGCGAAGTCCAAAAAGACTTCATTTCGAGGATCGGTCAATAAATTATGCAGTGAGTCGTTAATGCAATGATGAAATAATCAGCGGCTTCAACGCCGAAGTATTATTTCATGGGTCACACACTGTTCTCAGCGGTCGGCTCACTCAGGATCAAAATTGCTATTTCAGTCTGCGTCTTTTAAAATCGCATTGGTCTCTTCAATGGGTCTTGAATTCTCATTTAAGAGAAATTAATTTCAGTCACAAAGTCTTGCATTTCTTTCAAAGTTGTTTAAGTCTAGCATTTGTTTCCTTAAACTCAGTACTAGTAAGTCCCAATTCTCAAGGGTCGCTGCAGTAGAGTAGAGTCATTGCTGTGCGTAACTGAAGTCAGGTTATGATCACTGTTGTTTAAATTTTTTTTAAAAATGGCATAGAATTGGTGCTGATTTATCTCAAAAATGACCAGGAAAGAGAGCATCGCATCTCTAACGCAACATTTTGACTTTGTTAGCAGAACTTTGCAATAATCTGAAGTCAGCGAGGTACTCTCGGCTTTGAAGGAGAGAGGAGGCACTCCAAATGTAATTCAAACATAGCCGGTCGAACAAACGATCGCGAGCTTGTAACGTTAACTCGCCCTAATATGACGTCTGCTCTGCAGGATTGCCACAAAAGTACCTCCCAGTTTAAGCTGCTCCCAGTTAAAAGATTAGAACTTAGTCGTTGCTCATCTTTTTTGTTTGAATTGAGTTAACACACATTTAATACTATCAATAATGACAATAAAAAAGCTTAAACAATACTATTATTACCTTTTCAGTACAGTCTTATTAGCACTACACCCGTAACTGATACTTGAAATACTTACTAAAACTAATGGCTCGAAAGACACTAACACTAATACTAATACTCACCACTACTTTTCCCTAGTTCTCTCTGATTATATTGGTTACAATAATTACCAAAAATATAGATATTGCTTGTTTTCAAATCGACTTGAAAACGAATTGTGAGGGAGGGGGGGGGGTTAAGTTACTCTTCAAAAATCAAGATTTGTCTAGTTGTGGTGCAAGTATAGTAAGTTTAAAAATGCTACAGAAATAATATAACAATGGCGGAAATAAAGAAGATTACCTTCATCTAAAAGCTGACTATTTTTTTCATTTGGGTGGAACGAAATACCACTTACACTATTTTTCTCTCAAAGGAATTTGCACAGGTGTCACTCTCCTTTACTGAAACCACATGCTTGAACAATAGTAGGTCCCCTTTTCTACCTCTTCTCAAGCCCTCTCTTCAAAGCCCCCTCTCTTATACGTCACCCTTCTTACTAAGCCCCCTATTTCTCACTCTCGTTCTTGTTACTTGTTCTCGTTAATTATAGGGACATTCGGTTATATTAGGCCATCAAGAAACGGCCGCTCAGTTACTGAAATATTGATCAGTTTGCGTTTTCTTGATTCCTCACATGTTCTATCGAAGTTTGACCTACCGTCATAAAGCACGTCTCTGTTTTCCACCTAGGAAAGAAACAAGAAACAAAGAAAAGGAAGCAAGTGCAAATACGTATCACATTTGATTTAGTTGCTGTCAAAAGGGGCTTAAGGCTGAAGCTATAGTGTCTGACCTTATTAACTGGAAGGTTTTTAAAAAAGGGCACAAAAATACATAAAATACCTTTGATATGACATGGCACTTTTTAGCGACCTTGCCTAGATATAGAAACCGGTCATTATTTATCACCTGGGTAGGGGGGGAGGGGTTTTAGGATTTTGGTTGTGCCACGATAAAATTGACCTGATTACCCTCTGAGGTTCTGTTCTATTCTAATAATCCCCCGTTATTAGCATTTCACTAGCAGTCAATTTGCTATACTCATGGCTTTATACTCTATTTACGATCACTATTCCCCTGTCTGTTCTCTCTGAATACCCGTGAGATCCCCCCCCCCGCAAAGAAATAACCCAACCTTCCCCCCTCCACTTCCAGTTGATAACTTATGAGTGGTTCCTTAAGGCACATCGGTGGGGGTTAAACATAACACGAGTGCTTCGGAAAGAACATCTGTCATTGTCTACAGAGGGAACACTATAAAAAGAATCATGAATATGCTTGCCATTCGGCTTTTATACTGAAAGCGCTGTTTTATCTTTTATCTTGTTTTTGTTTTGCCCTTTTTTTCCCAAATGGTGTTTTTCAGACCATAAATCGACAATAGAGCATATATTGAGCCAAGGCAAATTTGATAGGTAAATCTCAACTTAGAACATTGTGCATAGTTTTACATAGACTAAACTTTGCACCGTAGACTGAAGAACATCTTGTTCAAACAATATCTATTTCAAAAGAAATTTGAACACGAATAGTCTTTTATTTGGATGAACCATGTCTGTTCGAAGGGAAAAACTCGCTTGAAAGGGAGTTGGTTCTTGAAGTGAATTGCATGTAAGTAGGAAAAAGTCAAAAGAGATGATTTTAAACGTTAATATCAACAGACCCTATTGCATTGCATGCATTGGCTCTGAGGTAGTATGGAGAAATTAGATTCTAGTCACTCTCAGTGGGGTTACAGTGTTAAATGAGAATATGACAAAAGCGAACGTGATTTTGATAAGAGTCTGCCACAATCTTAGGATTCATCTGTAATCACTCTTAAAAAAGATAAGCGGGCGAGAATCCTGCTGTTTGCAAAATTAAATGTTTGTAAAGGCATCAGTGTAGTTATTGGAGCATGCATCAGTGTAGTTATTGGAGCATCCCGGCCATATTCTACGTGTTATGAAGCAATTTTCTTTTTCATGACTGACTGAAATTTTGTTTAATCTTCACTTTTCAAAATCTAAGTTCACAACTGTTTTAATCTTCATGGTTATTGTTCAGACACTGTCCATGAAATCAAAGACAATGGTTTCGAAATTGAAGAAGGTAACCAATCCCTGTTAATGGACGAGGAGAAGAAAAGGTTCAGAGCCCCCCCCAAAAAAATGATGACATATTAAATTAAAAATGATTATGCTCGAAAATGACAGCATAATTCGCCATACTCCAGTAAATTACATCTCGGATGCGAAGGGTTCCGAATACAGCGCCGTTGACTGAAAGGTTCTACGAATTAAGTCCTATGAAATGATATACTTTTAAGCCCGTGATTTTGCCTAACAAATTCAGTGGGGCATGCATGAAGACTCGAACGACGAGATACCCGCTGTGAGTAATCTGATGAATGAGAAAAGAACGTTTTTGGTGTAAGTTCTCTTCTGCATTGTCTGTTACCCGACTGAACTCAAATTAAAATTTTTACTGGTAGGTTATAAGTGCTGTCTGCGCACGTGTTTTACACGCCGAAGCACGCTCCGCCTTAAAAAAGGATTTTCTTTTGGGAAAATAAAGATCACCTGATTGATAAAGCGTGATGGCGTAGCTAAAGACGATAGCAATTTGAAATGTTACTTTAAGAATCATGGCCGTGGTTTATTTTCTCTATGTGATAGGACAAACCTTTTTTCTGTAAGGAGTGTTACTCACTCAAACAGACTGCCTTAAAACTCGAAGCAACGCCCAAAAACTGCAAGACCTTTTCTTCTCCTTCCATACAAGATATGAGATATTTGGCTGATAGTAAATTTCCTACCTTTTTTCGGTTTAAAAACTTCTAAAACTTACTGAGAATTTTGAATATCTATTCAATTTGCCTTTTTCGAGCAGCATCTACATAGTAATGCTGTGTAGTAATCTAATGCGCAAATGACTTTTTGTTCCAACACTTTATTCTGAAAAAGAAAAACTATATTTTCTAAGTTTGCTGTTACACCGTCAAAACTACAAAACGAGAAAAAGCCCGTCTCGTAAGTAAAGTATTTAAAGCTTTCACGGAGATAATTAACAAATTTCTAACACGTAAATGATTCTTACCTTATCACTTATAGAAAGTTGAGATAGCTTTTCAAAATCATGCGGAAGCAAAGCGCGCGAATCAAGCTTTTCAAAATTTATGCGGAGGCAAAGAGAAAAGCGCGCCAATTACGTCCAAAGATAATTTATTCAAAATAACAAAGTGCGTTTGATTTTAGAAAGAAACAAACTCTCTGAATATTTGAAGGAAAAGTTCAAAGCTAGGGCGTTAATAAAGTAAATAAACTCTCAAAAGTTCCAAAAACTGTTAGTAAAATGTTTTGACAACGTTTCAAGTTGCTTTACTACATTATCAAGCCAAAAGGGAGAATGACAAATGAAAATACAGTAGGTAATATAACAACAGAGAGAGTTTTGGCGCCATTCGAGTCCGTCTAGGTGTTAAGCGTAATTTATTTTATGATGCAAATATCGTGTTCAGTGTACCACACGACACTCACCTGGTGTAAGGACAATGAGGAACCCGTTATAAGGGGCATTGCAAAAAATGGCCATTGCATTGAAAGACCTGTAAATGAAACTGTAGAGCACACAACAATTCATCAAATAGCCGAATACCCTTAAAGTGAAGTTGAGATGTCACAAGGTCACCATTAACACCAGATCGACAATGCAACGTCCTCAAAACGACATTCATTGTTCATTGTTCTCCTTCCAGTCATGTCATTGGAGGGCAAAAGTAAAAAAAGTAACAAGGCAAAATTTTGTTCAGCATTTGTGCTTATAACTTAGCTAGGCTTTCAAATGCACAAGCGCAATTCCTAATGTATTGCTCATTTGGCGTAACCACAATCGTCAAGCGGCCATTAATCCAGTCCCACCGGATGAACATTACTTTAGACTGATAGCTTTTCAATTTTGTCATGTGTTAGATACGAATTTCTGGTTCGATTTCTTGTAATGGTATTTTTGGTGCTCTAGAAGATACGAGAGAAACACGGTGGGGCTATGGAAAGGAAATTCAGTTTCCTCTCGGATCCAGATTCTTGCGTAGGTTACAGACTGCACTGCTATTGACTTCTCCTAGGATTGACAATAAATTGTGTAAGAAGGCATTAAAGCGACAAGACTTAGGATCCTCTCTTGACAGCGGCTTCGACGATACATGCAATATCTCGTGCAATCTTGGGCCCAGGGTCATTTTGGCTCCTTGTCAGCGGAAAAGTTGCCAAATAATAGTAGGTGGGTCATGCATGGGCAATGATTATGTCCTCAATATATATTTTGTCCTATACTTTACAAATTAACTACACATAAAATACCCTACACACATAAACAGGGCTAAAAAAGGCTAGATACAGCTATACACAGCTCTACAGGGCTATACATGGCTAAACGCAGCTATACAGAGCTATGCAGAGCTATACTGGGCTATACACAGCTAGACAAAGCTAAACACAGCTATACAAGGCTATACAGAGCTATACAGAGCTATACCCAGCTATTACACAGCTATACAGGGCAATACACAGCTATGCAGTGCTATACACAATTACACGGCTGTACAGAGCTATATACAGCTATAAAAGGCTATACACAGCTATACAGAGCCATACACAGCTATACAGGGCAATACACAGCTATACAGTGCTATACACAACTATACAGGGCTTTACACAGCTATACAGAGCTATACAGAGCTATACAGTGCTATACACAGCTATAAAGGGCTATACAGAGCTATACAGGGCTATAAACAGATGTACAGGGCTATACACAGCTATACAGACCTATATACAGCTATACTAGACTTTACACAGCTATACAGAGCTATACCCAGCTATACACGGCTGTATACGGCTGTACAAAGCTATATAGAGCT